TTAAAGGCAACTTCAAAGATTTAGTTATTTTAATGGCGAAAAATTCCACTGTCCTGTTTGAACATATTTCAAAAATTAAAAATGCAGGTAAACATCAAATATCGTTCTTATCATGGCAAAGACAAAATCAATTGTTAGAAGCTATAGCTGAAAATATTTCTACTAAAATTATTCATGAAGTTCAAACTACTCACATATTTAGTATATCTATTGATTCAACTTTTGACGAATCTAAAAGAGAACAAGTGTCTTTTGTAATTCGATACATAGATGAAGCAAATGGAGCCGTAAAAGAAAGATTGCTTGCTCTCAAAGAATCACCTTATACTACAGGAAAAGTATTATTTGATTTATTTAAAGATGTAATGGAGACTAATAATCTAAACTGGAATAATAATTTAATTGGTCAGTCGTACGATGGTGCCAGTAATATGAGGGGCAACTATAAAGGTCTTCAAGCACGCATTTCAAATGACTGCTCTCATGCATTGTTCATCTGGTGCCACGCGCATAGATTGAACCTTGTTGTGAAGCAAGCAGTTTCATGCAATATTGATGCAGTTGATATGTTTGGAAGCTTGGAAACATTATACGCTTTTGTATGGACTTCAAAAAAGAGAGTTGCTATATTTCGGAATAATCAGTCAAAAAGAAATTATGGAACACAATTACAAGCAATAAAAAGAGTAAGCACTACTAGATGGATGTCCCATGCAGCAGCTCTTGATACAGTATTGTCATTTTTTGAAACCATTATTGACACATTGATTAACATTCGTGATTTAGAAGGTCCCAGTGATTCAAAAACTGGATCGACTGCAAGTGGCTTAATTTTATACTTTTTATCCTACAAATTTTTAATAACTGCATTTACATTTAAGGAATTATTTGATATACTTGGACCTATTAATAAAATACTTCAAACTCAAGATTTTGATGTCATTACTGCAACAACAATAATAAATCAAACTAAACCAAGGATACAAAATATGCGTGAAGATAGTGCGTTTGAAAAAATAAACATTAAAGTTGATAATTTTATTAGTGACTTGGAGTATGAAATTGAACCATTAAAAAATAAACGGTTAAAAAGAGTTCCAAAAAAGTCTGGAGAACTGAGCATTGATGAACCTATAGTTGAACCTATAAAAAAATTTAGAATAGAAACTTATAACACACTTTTTGATGTTACATTTACTGAAATTAATAGTCGTTTTAATGTCATTAGTTGTGGCGTGTTGAACGATTTATCACTTTTGACTGAAAAAAGGATAATGGAAGTAAGAGAAAGTAATGTTTTACCAGATGACTCATTTTTAGTATTTTGTCAAGTATATAATAAATTTGTTGATCGAAATGCTTTAATATCAGAATACTTACAATTTGTTGTTAATTATAAAGAAATTGAATCTACAATCAAACTCAAATCAAATTTACACACAATCATCAATGACGATGATTTAGACGAAGATGGAAATTCAGGCGATGAGAATTATATAGATTTTAGTTTATATGATGAAGTAGAAGATCAAACATCGAATTGCTCAAAACAGAATTTAGCCAGTGTTGGAAAATTATTTAAACTTTTCTGTACAGCATCACTTCAAAATGTTTTTCCAAATTTATATTTAACATTGAAAATAACTGTTACACTTCCTGTATCGAGTTGTACAGTTGAGAGATCATTTTCTAAACTAAAATTAATAAAAACTAAGCTTCGTACAACTATGTGTCAAGACAGATTGGAGCAAATGGTCAAAATAAGTTGCGAACCTGATATATCTCTTGATAAAGAAAAAATAATAGATATATTTGCAAGCAAGTCAACGCCACTCACTAAATTATTAATTATTTAAATAATTTTTATAAACAATATTATATTATATTGTAAATATTACAAATTTTAATCATTACATTGCATTTTCACTTTACCTACACATATAATAAGTTTATTAAGAATTGTAAAATAAAAAAATTTCAGATATTATTCTTTACTATGTATGTATTTGTATTAATTTACACTTATTTGTATAAAATTTCAAAAATCAGAAATCCATCATTTGTTCTTAAATATATGTGGTAGATAATTTAAATTCTAAAATGTAAACTTAACAAATGAAAGCAGCCTATTAAATAATACCTACAACTGATCAGTATGAGCTATTTGATATCTTAATATTAAATATTAATATCAAGAATAGTGGTGTACATGGGATTTTTATTGTTGGAGGGACTTGATAATAAATATGTAGACACCAAATTTGCTTAAAATAATTATGTAAACCCCTATATCTTAAATAATTGATAATTCGCAATATGAAAATAGATGTAATGTATATTATGTATTGATATAAATAAGGAATACAATATCAATATGATGGTAGGGTTTCAGTCCCCCCCCCGTGTATACCAATTAGTAGGTGGGTAGGTACTATTAAAATTTGATGTTCGCCATATTGCATTTTTTGTAGTTCGGCGCCACTGCGAATATCCCTAACCGTCTGCTGAGCTCTTGCCCTGGTCTCCCTTATATATGGTTAACCGTCAAGAGTGGTGACTGAGGAGGTGGTGACTTCCAATGACCCTAAGGAGCTCACTAAATTAAATGTATTATTCAGTTGGGTGCCTTTCCTGCGATTTCATCGGTTCTACGAATTACACGACGTGTGATCAAGTCTTAATTGTCAAATTAAATCGTACAATGTTAACACTGTTGTTTACTCATCATTTCTGAGAAGTCCAAGACGTGTGACCATGTCTTATTCATTATATTTAATATCACGATGTGCAGGTGTTCGCCCTATCCGTTGGTGCTACACTGTTTGAATATATTATCCCATCGGTATACACATCACCTCTCCGTATAATAAATACGTGTAAAATAACACGGTACGTAACAGCTCATATATTAGCGAATAAAAATAGCAATAGCAAAATGTTTTATATTTAAATACCAGATTGACATTTTATCTTAATAAAATGTACCTTGCTGTTTGACTCTTATTATGGGTATGGACAATAATTATTATTCAGTTGTAAAAATTATAATCATTAGAAAGAATATCTAAAAATATTAATTTATCGTCAACAAGCTATAGAAATATAAAAATTAAATTATGAGCAAATTTGTAATATAATACCTGAATGTTTGTATTTTCATTTGTCCCAAGATCATTATCACCAGATTCAACATATGTGTTTTCTTCTTTTTGTTTTTCATTGCTTTTCTATAATTTTGTAATGATATGCTCACATATCATTGTTTATTACATATACATAAAATTCAATTAAATAAATTAACGGTCAAGTTGTCGCACGCAGATTAAACCCTACAAACATCCTTTTGCCACTGATGAAAGAAAACAACTTTTATTATATGATCACAAAGGAATTGACACATGAGTTGTGAGAATATCTCGAAAAGCGTGTGAACCAATTTCGTTAGCCAGCGGAGGCGGGCCATGGTACAATGAAGCTCTCTGTCGTATAGAAGAAAGACTATTTCTTCGAAAAAACGCCGAGTCCTTTTTTTATGATGGCATGGCCTGCGACTCTGGCTGGCTCGACCAGGTCTTCTCCCCGCAGTGCACGAGCACCAGCCAAGCCACGCGTGCATGAGCACCGGCCAAACTATCGAGTGCATGAGCACCGACAAAAATTACGAGTGCGGGCGTACCAGACAAGCGAGCAGGAGCTTTTTCCCAAAACCACCATACGACATACACACAAGACTCTGCGAGCGACAACTGGACTTATTTCTTTTTCTAATTCAAATCAGTGTTGTTTTTCTTATTTAAACATAAGTTTTCCTTAAATCGTATCGTAACTTGTGTCACCTTATACCTTTCTCCGAGGAACGTATTATAAGTATTCACTGCGGCGAATCAGGTAAGGTGCATGTCTAAAATACTAATTGTTAGTACAGGTTATGTTACTATCTAATTTGTGTAACGGTGTATTTGATCACATTCTTGAATCACGATCTCGAGAACCCTCCAAAGAACGAGAGGAAGATAATAACATGAGAACAAGTATACTCAATATTTATTAATACCGGACTTACATACAAGGCTTGTGTCCCTTGTGTCAGTCCGGCCACATTATACTTATAACTTTCATCGCACCATTTAATATTTTTATATTTATACGTTAGCTTCACCTTTTTTGTGTTATTACAATTTAATATTTTTAAATTAATAATTAATTAATACATTTTCAAATTTTCATGAAATATAAATAATGTTAACGTTTTAGTTTAGACAATTAACTTGATAGGTAGTAGGTACTTATTTTAAAATACGAGTAAATCATGGTTTTGCAGAGTTTTTTCGGTTTGGATGCCATTTAATAAATATTATAATTTTAATAACGTATGAAACACGTGTTATAACTTATACTATCATTAACCAACGTTTATTATTTTGTAAATGGTTCAGTCGTTTAGTGGTTCAATCATATATCACGTAAATTTATAATACTGATTAGCTCGATCGAAAAAAAAGGAAATGTTATAATTTCTATTTATAGTAATCACATAAACAATAATCGATGAAAACCAATCATGACATTATGGGATACCTATAATCGTATGATATAAATAATTATTATTTATTATAAGATATTATGTATACTGTTAACAGTGTTACTGACCATCAGATAATATTGCTTCTTAATTTTTATCTCGTATTATTACTTATTAGCAGCTGCTGTAAACCTGTATTATAATAATAATCTTATATCTTTTAATTTTTATCAAATTTTTACAATATAATTATTTTGTTCAAATTGATAATACATAATATTATACAGTATATAAACGTTTTACAAGTTTTTCAATAATTAGTTATATGGGTGACGTACGATGTGCCGTCCCTCCGTCCAAATTAAAAATACAAGGGGTACGCTAAAATATATAAAATTTAGAAGGGGAGCTCCGTCACCCTGCGCCCCTCCACAATTCGAGCACTGATTAATAGTATAGAATAATCAAAAACTAATATTTATGTTAACATCTTGTTCATTAATGATGAACTATTTTTAATATAAGTAAGAATTTCTTCAAACTTCACGTCATATAAAAGTTCTTTTTCTACACTCATCATCATAAATGCTTCCAGTTTTTCTTGTTCTAATGTAGATCGCAGCCTTGTTTTAATAAGTTTTAATTTACTGAAAGCTCTTTCGCAATTAACTTGAGTAAAAGAAAGTGTCAACGTATACTCATATGCTAAAAATATGTTGGTATACGCAATAGAATGCATATTATATTTATACAAAATTTTATAACAGATTAAACATTGATTGCATTCTTCAATTGTATGTTTAGCTTTAATATTAAGATTGTTTTCATCTTCATCATATAATAGTTCATTACTTTCAGCTGAATTACTATTAAAATCATTTATGTCATCATTTTCTACCTAACCTGACCTTAGATTTTGTGCTATTTATTAAATTTGATGTTCTTTGTGAAATACTACCAATAATATTTGGAAAAATTCTTGAAAAACTTAATAACTCATTTTGTAGTACTTTAAAGTCGACATTTATTAAGTTTCCAATTAATTTGCGTGCATTTGGAGGCATTGTATTTTTAATATTCATAAAATATGAAGGGTGTAAGTATTGGACATCTGCAATTAAAGATGTATTTTTTGAAAATCTTTCATTTAGACTAATTGATATTTGGTCAATAACACAGCGGAACGTATCAACTTTAAATTTGTCAAGACCTTGCATGAGAACTTGAGGTTCTGATTGTTCATCAAATTGCTGTTTTCTATGTCGAACCCTTTGTTGTAGGAAAACGTTTTCAACGACAATATGATCAGGTAAATCTAGATCAAAGCATTTTATATTCATTCTTCCGTAAAGCCCTGAAAATCTGAGAAAAATAGTATCAAAACTAATTTTGTTTATTTGTTTTTTTGCATTTTCAACCATAGTCCATGCGCTTAAAATATCAATGTTATTCGATTGTAAATAATCAGAAGTTGGACCAATTACTTTAAAAATGTGGAGGAAGAGAGGAGCAGTTATTATTATTTTAAATTCGTACAAATTGCTTATTAAGGATCGTGCTTCAGATAAACATTTAGCATCAAATGAAGAGTTTGTAGTAATATGATTTAATGTACTTAATACAACAGGAAATAAAGCGCCATCACCATCAAAAACCCAATCTGGTGCTTTTTTTCTTGACCACCACCTTGTATTTGATTCAGATATTTTTTAAAGTTTTTTTTAATTTTGCTGATCCAATACTATTATTTAGTTTAATCAAAGAGAGGTTATTTGCTGTTGTTAATGTCATAAACTTATGTGGAAAGGCACTTTTTGAAATACTAAAAAATTGTTTTAATCAACATGGATTACATCTTGGCAAAGTTGTTGGTGAATCTTTTGATGGGGCGAGTAACATGAATGGTTCATTTTCTAGTCTCCAATCATTAATAAAATCTATAAATAATAAAAGCGTTTATATTTGGTGTTATAGCCATGTACTATATCTTTGTATATGTGATACAGTTTCTAATCTAGATGCTAAAAATTTATTCGGTCTTCTCAACAGATTATCTATATTTTTTTGGTTGTCCATATAAAAGAATGAATGTATGGGTAAATGAAAATAAACTACCCAGATAGCAATTCTGTAATGATAATATTTTATAATTGTCAGTTTTTCATTAGGAAAATATTATTATGAAAATAATATTAACCCTGCGATAGGCACGCTCAATTATACGAGTATTACATTAGTAGGCGCGTGGAGCACAAATGTGCACCATTAAATTAATTTTTAATTTAAAGCATTAACGACAGTATATTTTATGTTATGTTTGGTTATAAAACAATTTATTTTAAACTCTTAGTTGCTATAACAATAAAAAATAAAATTAAAAACTTCTTAATAAAACAAATAAATAAATAAGCTTTTGAATAAAATTACACTTAAATGCAGGATTAGTAAAAAATAACAACAAATTATGAATTAGTCAGTCATCACTCGTCACTGTCTGTTTTCATTTGTTCATCTTGTGTCGAGAAACATGAAGGGCATATAACTGTTTGGTGTTCCACGCAAATCCATTTATTTCATTTATCACACCACTTTCTTTAACTTCTATTTTTTTTTCGTCCACAAGGTACACATCGTCCTGTCTTTGATCTCTTAGGAGGTAATGCTTCTTTATTCTCTTCTAGACCAAGTAGGTGTCTGCAACGTTCAATTATGGTTCGGGGAATTTGTTTATCATTTATTCTTATCATTATATGCGGTTTTATAAGTTCTTGAGCTAATGTACAAATGAATGATCAACGTGACGTATTATGATTATATCCATTATTGCATTTATATATTGCAAAAGCATTTATTCCACATATATTTAGGAAATTAAAAAATATTACTAGTGGCCATCGCCGTGTATTTCTGGCCACATTGTACTGTGCACACATTTCATCAACGACGTCTACTCCATACTTAGTGATATTATAAAACGAAATTATGTCAGGTTTTTGTTTATCACCTGTTTGATTATCTATCGCATTATAGTGGTGCATAGTCGAAATACATAAAACTACTTTATTTTTTTTTGGAGCGTAAGAAACAATGGTACAATTTTTTTGAAAACCGAATAGAGAGCTGTTTATATTACGTCCTTTTACAATAACAAAATCTTTTGGTATCTGGCGTTTATTTTTTCTGAGAGTTCCTACAAATGTTATTTTATCTTTTAGTAGATCCATCGCCAAAGGTACAGATGAAAACCAATTATCGGCTGTAATATTTCTGCCAGACTTTTCTATAGGCCGAACCATACGTTTTACAACGTTGTCTGGTGCATTACTTTGAGAATAAGGGCCATCGGGTTGGTTCCCTAGATATATTTCAAGGTTAACTGTATACATGGTTTTTGTATCGACAAGTGCAAATATTTTGATCCCGTATTTATTCGGCTTATTTGGAATATATTGCCTAAAAGAATACCGACTACGAAATCCTACAAGTTGTTCATCTATGGTAAGATATTCACTTGGTGTAAAAATATCTTGACAATTAGTAATAAATATTTCAAATAGTTCCCGAATAGTAGGACACAGCTTATCAATTTCTTTTCTTTGTACTCTATCACGTATGTCATCGAAACGCAGGCATCTCATCAGAAATCGGAACCTTTTATAACTCATTGTCAAGTATATCATTTCTACACCCAGGCCTGAAGTATTCCAAAGATCTAAGACATTTTGTCTTCCCGATTTGAGAACCTCACTAAGAAAAAGTATTTCAATTAGAGCCCTAATTTCAACCACATCAGTATTTTTGGCATCCCTTTCGAGGCTAAAATTACATTTCACTTTATCAATATAAATATTTGTAGATGTTGTAATAATTTGAATTATAATATCATTGAACAAAATATTGAAACATTCAATATGAGTTTTAGCAATTGTCCCGTATCTTTTTGTGCCTGGTAAATTAGTGATGATATTATGAGCACGAGTTCTCGAAGTGTGTGCTAAACAAGACTTTGACCATTTTGTACCATCTTTTCCCACGTAATAATTATTACTTGACATTTGTTGAGCTTCCTCGTCACTAGATGAATCGATTTCTTGCTCCGTATCAGATTTATGACTACTATGCGATACATTATCGCATGAATCGTCATCAGTACCACTGTAGACAAAATTGTCATCGGGTTCATTCAACCAATTAGAAATAATATTTTCCATGTTATTATATTTTTAATATATTATTATAATAATACACAAAAAATATTTTGAAAATTCAATAACGTATAATGTAGAACGTGCAATGAGTGATAACCAATAACAATACGTAGATACGCGCGTGGCGCACAAGGGTACTCCATAATATACATATGGTTAAAAATCAGATACAATGTTATAAAATTTTAATGAAAACAAGCATATAACATCAGCTCATAACTACTATAGTACGTTTCACAACAACTGCGACTCGACGCTAACGCGACTCGTGACGGCGTTGTCTTAAACCAGGGGTTCTCAATCTAGGATAGAAAATAAATAGCATGCGTCTTTTCAAAACAAATGGTAAGAGCAGCGGGTTATGGGTATGTTTTTTTATGTACCGCTGTTGTGTATGAGTAGGTTTGATACTCCCTACCGACCCCATGCGTAGGAATGTGGTCAAACAACAACCCCTGTTGCAGCTATAGTTATTGTGACATCCAGACTCCAATGTGTAGTGCGTACTGTTGTACTGTTGTTCGTTGTTGACTATTCCTTACGCATTACTTATGTATTACGTCTGTGCGATTTATATATTTTTTTTATTATAGTTAATTATTTATTTAAAAATGTCTAACAATTCAGTAGATATTCACTCTCAAACTAAAAAAATGGTTTTTAGTGTATATTCGTATTTTAAAAAATTATCTAAAGACTTGACGAATCCTGAAGTAGCAAATTTTTTTCTACAAGCGCAACAAAAGACTTCTGAAGCATGTGTTATCAGCATCGGCAGCGTTAAAAGAATTACATCGGAAGTCTCTAAAGCCCCTTTAGATCCAGAAACTGAAGAACCGAAATTTACCTCTCCCCGTAAAACATTCAAACGAATAAAATTTGCTACAGATATTGATGACTTTGACCAAGAGGTTGTACGACGGACGGTCCACGAGTATTATGATAAAGGTGAGTTTCCTACATCCATAAAAATTTTATCTAAATTCCATGAAAAAACTGGCTACAAAGGTTCTAAAACGTCGATGTGGAGAATTTTGAAGTCATTAAAATTAGGTATAAAAAATGCAATGACGGCCGTCGATTTCTGATGGAGAGAAATGATATTGTCGCTATGCGTGTACGGTTTTTGAGACAAATGGTTAATTTACGTAAAAACAATGATGTTCGACCAAGGCCTGATTAATCAATAGGCTAAGTAGGCTACAGCCTAGGGCACCAATCGGTCAACGTTAAATTGGGGGTGCCACAAAATTTTTTTACGAATATAGAATTTTTGCATAATATAAACTTAAAAATAAAAAAATAAATTTTCGTTATTACACGTTCAATGCCGCGGCCTATTCGCCTATTCGCCGTGCCGTTACCGCGTCGCCGAAACGAATTTCCGCCCGGTCGACTATTGTAATATATTACGTTGTCATATATCTATTTCTTGTAATGGTCGCGGGCTTATCGCACCGACGACTGAGCGATCCCACATTGACTAATATTATATATATAAATATAATATTGTTGTGTGTGCGTGAGGCGACCCGACGACGGGTAATATTGTACTATTTTTATTTTTTCTTAGTCAATAATATAATATTATATTTATATCTTTACTATCGTCGGCCGTAGTGGCATGATCACTAATCAGTAATCAGTCTTCGCCACACTGCTAACCGATATAGCCTATTTATTCCGATCGTTTATTACTAATATTTGACGCGTGTGTGTAGTGTGTACGTACCAATTATTTATCATTTTATTGGTATATTATTGGTACAATATATTTTATTATTTAATAATAATTATTATTAAATTGTTATTTATAATTATTTATTGGTACAAGTTACAAACAGCTTATTAATATGAGTGAAAATAAAAAACCAAGTGGTTCCGAGTATCGAAAAAGGGCTCGAGAGCGTAGTGAGCGGGAAGATGCACTTTTGAAAAAAATGCCTTCATTTGATACGTTTTTTAGTAAATCTAAAACATCGTCTAATAATGACTCTTCTGAATCATTATTAGATGCCTCAGTGAAGAATGTTCTGGTTGAAAGTAACAAAAGCAAAAGTGAAATTCACGTGGCGGTGCCGTCTACTAGTGCTAATACACTAAATAAAACTCTAACTGAAACGTTCCCGGAACAGCTGCCAGATGGTTATTCACATTTCAATGTGACTGATGAAAAGGTAAAAAACTTGAAAAATGTTAACGATCCGGCTTTGTGGGAAATTAATGAAGAACTGCGTGAATATTTTGCTATCCACGGCATTATTCAAAATGATGATGGAGATTTTTCTAAATCTATAAGAAAATACTCAGACCAAAATAGGTTTTTAAATAAAAATGTATTTTTTAAGAAACTTGTTAATGGGGAGGTTGTTAAAAGATGTCACTTAGTTTATTCAAAATCGACAGGTCGTATTTATTGTGCATCCTGCAAACTTTATGGGGGAACTACTTCTTTGGGAACTGATGGTTTTAATGATTGGAAAAATTCTCACATAATCCATGACCATGATAATAATGCTGAACACAGAGCATGTCTGCGCAAATATTTAGGACGAAGTAATTTATCCCTAAGAATTGATTCAAAATTAAAGATTCAATATCAAGGAGAGGTGCAGTATTGGAAAAACGTGTTGCTCAGGGTTGTAGAAGTTGTTAAATTTTTATCTTCCAGAGGGCTTCCTTTTCACGGAGAGAATGAAATTTTAGGTTCAACAAACAATGGAAACTTTTTTGAGTGCATAGAACTTTTATGTAAATTTGACCCATTTATAGCTGATCATGTAGCCCTTTTTGTAAATAAAGGTAAGGGAGTACCTTCATACTTATCTTCCACAACAGTAGATGAGTTTGTTTTACTTTTAGCAGACCATGTGAAAACTAAAATTGTGACAGAGAGAAAATTGGCAAAGTATTTTTCTATTATTGTAAATTCTACTCCGGATGTATCGAATGTGGACCAATTGACATTTGTTGTTCGTTATGTTGCAACTGATGGATCACCTAATGAACGTTTTCTGACATTTATTCCAAATCGTGGACACACAGGTGAAGACCTGGAAAAAGCTGTGGTTTCTACGCTTGAAACTCTAGATATAAATATAAATGACTGCAGGAGACAAAGTTACGACAACGCTTACAATATGTCAGGTTGCTACAAGAGACTGCAAAACAGAATTAAAGAGCTTAATCCATAAGCGCACTATGTCCCTTGTGCAGGCCATTCGCTACAGTTAGTAGGCTCTGCAGCAGCTGGGAGTAGCCGAAAATCTACAGAATATTTTGCTCTAGAACAGCAACTCTATAAATTTTTTCACTCTTCCACCAAAAGATGGGACATTCTTTTATTTCATTACGACAAAGACTCTCTAACGATAAAGACTCTCTCAAAGACTAGATGGAGTGCACGTGCCGATGACAGTAAAGCTATGTACTAATGCTATAAACCAATTACTACAGCTTTAGTACGAAAAATAGTAAAGAAGATCAACTCGAGGCAAAACAACTATCTGAAAAACTTAAGTCCTTAGAAATGACACTAATGATTTGCTTTTGGAACGAAATCCTCACAAAGTTTCAAGATGTCAGTAAAATGCTTCAAGGTGAAAATGTAGACTTAAATCAGACGGCAAATCTGTACGAAATGCTTGAATCGTGTTTAATGTCACTAAGGAATGAAGAACAATTTACAACTTTTGAAAGTAAAGCAAAGTCTATGTGAGGTTCTCAGCATTATAAAAAAAGATACTCAAAGAAAAAAGAAATTGAAGTTATCTTATGGTGAAAATGAAAAAGAGCACACCGAGTTTAACGGACGTAAGCCATTTATAACAGATAGTTATTATAGCGCGATTGATACACTTAAAAGCCACCTAGCGAGAAAAAAAGATGTTTATTTGCAGCTGAGGAATTCTTTCGGATTTTTATGGAACATGAACGAAATGGAAAAATTTGACTTGAAAGAAAAGGCAAACAACTTGCTAAACATGTACCCTTCAGACTTGGACTTAACATTTCCCGAAGAATGTTTGTATCTTCAAACATTTTTACAAGAAAATAAAACATATTATTATGAAGAAACAAAAGTTCTAGGTGGAAAAAAGAAAATGGGATCTAAAGCCTCCAGACTTTTGAGCCACTTAAAATCCTTGAAGATAGAGTCACTATTTCCAAATGTTGAAGTGGCTCTACGAATATATTTGAGTATGGCCGTCACAAATTGTAGCGGAGAAAGATCTTTTTCTGCTCTAGGGCGCGTGAAAAACTTTTTAAGATCCACTTTACGCCAGGATAAAATGAAGGCCCTTGGACTTTTGTTTATTGAAAGTGAATTCGTGAACAATATTTCTTTCGATGAAATAGTGGAGTCTTTCGCAGCATTAAAATCAAGGAAAAAACTTTTTTTAAATAAATAATATTTAGTTCCATCACAAATTAAAAATTTTTAAATGCTTTTGTATATAATTTTATTAAAAATAAAACACGTTTTATTTTAAACAAAAAAGTCTGTTGTTTTTACGTTTTCTTAATCCTCGTCTTACTCTCCAACCACTCCGATCATTCATAGGGGCGCCAAATCAACCCTAGCCTACTGGTGACCAACTCCTTAATCAGGCCCTGTGTTCGACCAGTTGTCTATTTAGACGAGACATAGGTGTGTTGCGTCCGTTATGTCAACGTCGATACATATATCAACGTAGAAATAGAAATACTAATGTTTGCAAGTTAAAAGATTAAGTCTTTATTTAATACAATTAACTCGTACAAGAATACAATTTTATAAGCACAAGATGGTGTGAGTGGTGTTACGACCTGCCTCTGAAATACTGATAGACGAGACCGTGAGTGGTGTTACGACCTGCCTCTGAGCGTCTCGAATATCCCTAACCGTCTGCAGAGCTCTTGCCCTGGTCTCCCTTATATATGGTTAACCGTCAAGAGTGGTGACTGGGGAGGTGGTGACTTCCGATGACCAAAAGGAGCTCTCTAAATTAAATGTATTATTCAGTTGGGTGCCTTTCCTGCGATTTCATCGGTTCTACGAATTACACGACGTGTGATCAAGTCTTAATTGTCAAATTAATTCGTACAATGTTAACACTGATGTTTACTCATCATTTCTGAGAAGTCCAAGACGTGTGACCATGTCTTATTCATTTTATTTAATATCACGATGTGCAGGTGTTCGCCCTATCCGTTGGTGCTACACTGTTTGAATATATTATCCCATCGGCATACACCTCACCTCTCCGTATAATAAATACGTGTAAAATAACACGGTACGTAACAGGTGAACCAAAACCATACTCGGAATTACATTTGGCAAAATTCGGAGGATAAAGAAGGATTTAAAGTACCGACAGGCAAGGGAGGTCGGATTATTATTTGTCATGCTGGTTCGAGTTCATTTGGGTTTGTGAATAATTCAAAATTAGTATTTCGATGTAAATCTGGTCCATCTGAAGACTATCACTCCCATATGAACTCTGCTATATTCAAAGACTGGTTCATACAAATGCTCAACAATTTGGAAAAGCCAAGTGTCATAGTTATGGACAATGCATCATACCACTCTGGTCTTGTTGACAATTATCTAAAGAGTAATGAAAAAGAAATCAATGTCCAAAAATGGCTTCAAGAAAAGGGAGTTCAGTTTTCACTCCTGGAAACGTTACCGGAGTTACGAGAGCGTTTGAAGCAGTTAATACCACAAGAAAAAAAATATGAACTGGATCAGATTGCGTTGTCAATGGGCCATGAGGTGATACGGCTATCTCCGTATCACTGCCAATATAATCCTATTGAGCTAATTTGGGCGCAAGTAAAAGGAAAAATCGCCGAAGAAAATACAACCTTTAAAATCGCGGACGTCGAAAAATTGGTTTATGAAGCATTGGATTCCGTAACAGTTGACGACTGGAAGAGGTGTGTGACACATTGCAATAAACTGCAAGACGATGATTACGTCAGAGGGCTTACGTGACGAAATTATGGAACCAATAATCATGACAATTAATCCAAACGATAGTAGTGAAAGCGAAGATGATGACTATTAATAAAAAAATGTAAATATTCTGTAATTTAGACACATGTTATTTTTTTTTACATATTTTTATAGTTTTAAGTTGTAAATAATTAAGTGTAACATAAAATATAATTCGTTATTTATCTTATTTAATAAATGTATAATTTTAAAAAGTGTAAAATATTCGTTATCAATTTTAAATTTTCCACGGATTATTTTGCGCTAGCTTTAGAAACCCTGATGAAAAAACACCACGAGGCGCGTTAGCATCGAGTCACAGTTGTTGTGAAACGCACTATATGAAGGTAGATACGGTTATTTCCAATCATATGATAACCATCACGCTAAAATCATTTAAAATCCGTGTGCGCCGCGCGCCTATCGTAGGGTTAATAAAATATCAAATAATTATTTTATAAAATAATATTATGAAAATATTATAATTATAACATATAAATTAAATAATAGAATGATATTCATAATATTTTATCATTATATTATTAAATATGAATTGTTTTAAATATATTTTGATTATATCAATAATATGACATCACAAATTAAATTATAAAATAAAATTTTGGAAATATGATTATAAAATTATTTCAATTTATATTATTTTAATCTAAAAATTTTTTTTAAAAGATTTTATATAATTATATATATAAATTATAGGTAGGTATTTTTATTTTTTTAATATATTTGATCATAATAATAATAACGGGTGTAAACCCCCAAATTAATATTAATATATAGAGGCATAGACCCATAGTGTTAATATATTATAATATAATTTAATATATTACCAAGATAAACCTGGTATCATAATATGATCGAATATTAAAATAAGTGCTTGCAGTGGTTCGCACACTTCATTATTAATATGTTGGTATAAAAATACTAATATAATAGGTGCAATAGTTATATTATAATATGGAATTATTGATGTGTACTAACTGACTATACTGAGTAGTAGTATTAGTTAATATAAATGAATAATGTGAGTATGTGACAAACATATTATTGGTACTGCAGCGAACTGAATTTATCGATATGAAAAATTGATACGAATTTATAATCAGGAATTTTTCCGTTTTATTTAATAATACTACGGAAAACTGCTTAAAGTGGAATTTTTGGTTAGTCCCATGTTATTCCGCATAATTAGACAGTTTTCACTGTACAAGTAGTATTCGAGTACCTTAAAAATACTTATTTGGTAGTAGTTATTATAAATGCACATTGCACAAATTATATACGATGATATACCTATGGACTCTAATTTATAATTCCTACTACTACTAGCTGTATAGTAGCTGGCTGCTACTATACATATATATACTCAATGATAATAGCTAATAAATAACAAATAGTTTTAGCTATTATAGAATTAATATGAATTTTCTAGGTTTGCTCTCTGTAAAAAAAGTGATTTGCATGATTAGTTCTAATAATAAGTTATGTTTTGCGACGTACGTGGTATATACTGTATACGTCGTACGTATGAAATATTACAGACATTATAGTATTATTCGTAATAATATATTGTTTTACGTATATTAATTTTAATTTAAAAATACCACAATGTCCACAACTGCAATCGCAAAAGTATACGACTAAGTACAATGCGTCAATACGGAGTGCAGACGCCTGACGGATAATATAATATAATATTATTATTATTATTATTTACGAATTACGCGAGGCATTCTGATTCTGATAATCATCAAAATCATTTCGCTTGCTATAAATAAATTGTGTACATGTTAAAACTAATGTGAAATCCCGACACCATCGATATCATATTTATTATTAATAGCATAATATTACAAGAAAGAGCCAGATATTCTCGCAACACGGGTTTGACACTGTCACACTGATGTCTGATAGTCCGACGTCTACGGTTTAGTATTAGTATAAGCCACTATAGCTGTTACGGTAAGTACTATATTCTTTAATAATAGGCAGTATTAATTAAGTGTTCCATATTTTCCACTAGATATTTTATTTGTACAATTTATAAAATTCACATTTTACCTACGTCGCGTAAACTTTTACAAATTTAAATGCCTAATATTTTAGTGTTGCAATAAATAATCACTACAATCTTTATTTATGTATTTTGAAGTTTTAAAGTCAGTTAGGTTAGGTGAACACAAAAAAAATTGAAATAAT